CACATAGGTAAACCATATCCAGATTGCATATCCAAACTGTATAATGACAATATCTTGTAACTCATTTCTTTTATGATTATAATAAAAAAAAAAAAAATTTCCTTATCTATTTCTCCTGTATACTGTTAATGACAGAAGCATAGATAACTTATTCACTAAGAATGTTTATGGTTTCAACTTTCGAAGCTGCTTATCCATTGACAGCTTCTCCAACACTTAAAGAAGCATTGACCTTTAAGCTATAAATAGAGAATAAATGCTTAATTATGTTCACATATACTTTACCTGCAATCCTTTGCTCCTTTTAAGGCTAGTAATGCTTGATAATAACATGACGAGATAGATGCTTTGAAATGCAGCAATGTTTCCTCGTTTGTGTTTCACGTACCCAACTATAGCAACTGATGATGCGATCCTTCACCCTTCTGAATCAACAAAAAAAAAAAAAACAGCAATACTACACTTACCGATCAAGCTACCGATTTTTACATACCGATCCACCTGCCAAATTACCCAAATCTTAAAATTTAACTCAATTCACATGAATCAGTATGTCAAATCAGTAGTTTAATTGGTAACTTAAGCATTATTGAAAGAAAAAAAATGCCTGTATTGCTTAGTGTGAAGCTGTATACTATTTCCCATAACAAAAAAGGATATTTAAATCATCATTAAAATTTAGAAAATGTTGAAATACGTGTGGCACACTCGCCATAGATAATGACTAGTTGGACCATCCTAAGAGGTTGAGTAACACAGCTTACAAAACATGGAAGTTTCAGCAACACAACTATGGTACTTAAAGACGCAAACTTATGGCAGTAAACCTAAGTCTAGAAAATATCCACATCCATACTAAATATATCAACATTGAAGCACAACTCTTTTGGATGCTAAATCCTCACACACATTTTTCATTCTGTTCAGATCAGGAAAGGCAAAAGAATACCTATGGTGGATTCTAGATAGTCTCTCAATTGCAGCAGTTCATGGTGTTTTCCTGAGACCACGAAGAATAACAGCTTACAGCTTGGGCTATGCATCAAATTCCCATCTTCGCATAAATTTAGCTTCTATGGCCAAAGAGGTACAGTCTGCAAGTGACACGAAAACCATTAACAGAGATACTTATTTCACTTCAACCAATATATGAGAACAAAGCAGCGATGGTACCTGAAGTTCATTTAAATAGTTAATTCCTCTAACATCATCCATGAAACTTCAATACAATAAAACCATACAAGTCCTTGTAACTCACTGCTTAAAAGCAAATGGCTTCTAAGTCGTCTTAACAGGTAGCAAAGCCGCTTTCGAGACAAAGTTGCAGCATCAATTAATGAAACCACCTCTTAAACTTTTCTGATTTACTAACACCAGGTGTGGAACACTGTCCTTTCCCCTCCTCTCCCTGCTCCGTGTTTAGTGTTTGCAAAAGGAGATAGCCTGGACTGTACACAAAAGCAACCTCATATTCAATCATAAAAGAATAAAGAAATACTTCCATAGAGCCACTTTTACCCACCTTGGTAACCATCAGTTGCCAACAGGTGTGTTGGCCGTGAATCTAGATCCACCAGCCACTGGTCGGTTGTCCACCAAAGTAGATTTATTACTTTCAAATGCCAGAAAGAGGCTAAGATCTGAAAGATAAGCTGCAAATCTCTGCAACACAGTAGCAAAAACACTGATTTTTCAGACATGTCAACAATACAACATCAAGATAGACTAGCCACACCTAAGCTTCACTAACTACAGACAATCACAAGTTCCATTATCTCAAAACATCTTCAGAGGGGCTTATAAGGTGTAAGATAAATGCTTGTGCATAATAAACTAGCATTAGCATTCCATCTTAATCTAATTAGTCTCATATATTTGACAAGGAAGAGCGATAACATTTTCATGGCCCACACATAAGCAAACATCATAGAGATACAGATACACATCATCAGCTCTCTCTTATCAAAGTCTTCCCTAAACCTCCGCCCTTGACAGTAAGCAAAATTACCAGCTAACAAAAATACAGTAACTGAGAGTCAGAAGCCACATTTAAGCTTACACCTCATCTAAAGATTAAACCACCAGTTATTTCACTGAACAACAAATCTAAAATTTCATGATCACAGTTTTGTCAACAATTCAACATAAATGCACAAATCAACTTCTATTTGATATTCCACTCAAATTAGCTAACCAATTCATTTAACTTGATAAGGACCATTTCAAAAAGAACAAATTCACAATATAAATTTCATTTGAATTAAACAAGAAAACTTTGGTAATCAGCAAAACAAGTTAAAATCTTACCCAATTTGGAGACTTGTTAAAGGAACATACACATTATATCATTACTTTTCCCGCATTAGAGTTTCTCTTCACTCAACTCGCTACAAGCACTGCTTCGTAGTCCCAAAAACACACAAACACTAAAAAACTTGTATTAGTCTCCATTTTATAACAACAACGGAAATTAAATCGTTTAGCATGATATTTTATATTATATTATGCATTTCATTAATATATATACAGCCCTGTTTGTAAAACTTACATATAGAAGAGGAGAGGAGACCATGATAAAGAGAATTCCTGTGAAGGGGAAGAGAAGTACAAATTCACCGCCAAACTCATAAGCAAGAGGAAGTGTCCCCGATGGACAAACACGGCTTAATTGGAGGCCGGCAGGGGGAGATCACGGACAAGAAGAACCGAACACAGTGACGAAACAAAAAAAGACAAAACTAATACTAAGGCTAACACTTCTTGCCAAGGTCCAACTCAACAATAGATAAGAATAATCCCCTCTCTCTATTTTCTCTTCCCGTTCTTGCAATACGGGCAGAATGGAAATTGAAAAGGTTGCTTGGTTTGCCAGGGCTATGTGTGACGAAGGTGAGCGTTTAAACTTAAATCTTTAGTAGGATAGAAATGTAATCAGGTATTCGGATCTGATCTCCCTTGTTCCCGCCAGGAAGAAATCATTGGTTCGTTTGTTTGTCTTCGTCAGAAAAACAAGAGAGAGTTTTATAACAGGAATTCAAGAAAGAAGAGAGAGAAAGAGAGAGAGAGAGAGGAGAGCGCTAGTTATGTGAACTTGTGAAGAGGCAATGGGCGTGGAAGTAACCGCGAAGCCTAATTTCGACAAATCAATTGTGTTATTGATGTGCGATTGAATCAGAACGTAGCTGTTAATTAAGCCACTTTTACACCATCTGATTAAAGAAATCAAGAATTTCAGCGGTGATGTGATATGTTGGAGGTGTGTGATTCCAGCGCGTAGTTATACCAGCTTTATATTATTTTTTTTCAAGTAGGAACGTCACCTGTTCAAAGCCAAATATTTGTTTTGCATTAAGTAAGTGATAGCTAGAAACTCCATGTTCACTCTACATATAATCATCTCCCGTGCTCATTTTAATTACACACCTTTTCATTTAACAAGTTATGACCATTTTTCTATTTGTCGAGTAAACGACATTTTCCCACCTAAGGTTGGCGAATCTACAAGTTTTTAACCTCTGGTTCATAAATATAGATTCCCACTCTTCAATTAATGTTGTTCCTTTTTCTCAAAATAACTCTTACCTCAATTGCTATCAAATAACCTGTGGAGTCCCGGGCCAAGCCAAAAAACTTCCACTAGATTTCGCCGACCATTGGACCCCCTGACACACACCAGATCCCCTTATTCTCCTCACAGAAACCCTAACTTTTCACCCGATTGCACCTCGGAGAGGTGCTGGATTTGGCTGGAAAGGGGTGGAAAAATGCTAAACCTAAAGGAGAGGCACGGGGTGACGGTGCAATTGCAGTGCGATGTTGGGGTTTTGATGGGGGAAAGCCGAGGAATGCTATTGGTGGGGTCTAGGGGTGGTTTTCGTGCCGAGAGCTGTCGAAATTGATGAAACGCCGATTGAACAAAATGACGTGACGGCCACCATTGGGGAGTCAATAGACGGGGAGGTTAGGGGTTTGATAGTGGGGGTTGAGGGGATTGTTAATGTGGTGTCAGTAGGGGTTGATTTGTCGAAAATTGCCGAATAGCCTGAACTCGCCGTGGTGGGTTCGAGAAGTGAAGGGTTTATGTTGAATTTTGATATTTGAAATGACTATTTTACCTTTTAACTGTTACATTAAAAGGTTACCTGTTAATTTAGGGTTGGAATCTGTCAATTTTATGAAATTAGGGTGGGAACGGTAATTTGCCAACCATAGGGTGGGAACATGTCTTTTTCTCTTCTGTTTCATAAAATTTAAATACAATTTGAGAAAATATTGAAAAATAAAATCGGTAGCTGATAGAGAGATGTTGTTACAGTGTTTTAATGTGGTTTATGGGGAGTTGCGCGTGGTCCTATAGAACCCTTGTGGTATGCCTATCCTACAGCCTACGACCAGAAGAGATAAGGAATAGTAAAAGGGTTTCGTACATATGCGCTATTTTGTGCAGCTTCTTTACGGACGCCGCCGTCTACACCAGACTCGTTTCTCTTTGATCTCATCACTTGTTGTCTTTATTAGGGAAGCTGCTATTAGTCCACTCTGTCATGTTCCCCATCCCATATAATATTAAAATTGTAATCTATGATTCAGAAACTTTACTGTCAATCTATCCCGATCTCTAATGTTGAGATCAGCCAAGTTGCTGAAGCATTCACTCAATTAGATTCTGGCCCTTTAATTGAGTCATCCTACAATTGTAAATTTAACCTTGAATTTAAAAAATTTGGGGCAAAGAATTTTTTAAACACAACCCCTACTGTTGGCCTGCGGTCAACTGAACCAAACAGTGTTTTAATGCATTTTTGAGTTTTCAAATCCTATTAGACTTAATACGTGTGACCACTGTACTAAGACTTACATTACAAAATCTCAAAGAGTATATTTGGAAGCGTTTATATCATATAATATTTGATTACAGGAAATATTATATTAACGCGACATAAAACTCATCTTAAGATTACTGACATTGTAAAAAAGTTTGGTTGGTTTCGAATAAATTTAGAACTGTAAACTTTAAGAAAACAGTATCCCTTGCGGAAGATAAAAAACCACAGAATGATTCCTGCATTGACAAAAGTTGTTATTCTATCATTATATTAAACAGCAAGATATGGAAGAGAAGTTTGTAAGAATAAAGTAAGTTTTTAAGAAAACCTAGAGTAATTAAAGTTCTGATTACGTAGTTGAATAAAAGGACATCAAGCATAATTATCTTTCAACTCAATTTCAAATTGACACTAAATCCCTAAGACAATGACCAACCTCTTTGTATTTGCGGAATCCTTCTGCAATTAATCTTAGCAAATAAATTCAAGTAAATCACATCTGTTGCCAAGTATGAACTCATACCAAAAAATAAATGCTAGATGAACAAAAAGATATTCAAGCAGGTGTTTGCACCCAACAAAAACAACTTCGAAGCAGAATGACATAAAGCAAAGTAAAAACACAATACCTGAGACGATGTCTATTGCAGGCCATGAAGAATGCAACAAAACCATTTAATATGCTTCTGACAGCACGAAAAACCTGGAAAGATTTTGGTGAAGTTTGAGAACCATTCGCATAACAAAGTCATACTAATCACCATAAGCAATTATGAAAAATCTTCAAACCTGGGAGAATAGGTCATTCCAAAGTGAACGCCACATGGAAACTTCATATGCGTTCACCGTTGCCTCCGAAGCTGAAGCAAACTGGAATATGCTACTTACAGCCCCCCATATATTTCCAAGCAATTCAGATATGCCGGCAAAAATGAAAGCCACAAAACTAGCTAGTGCAAGGACCAGGCGAATCGGGGCATAGAGTATTTCCCAAAGCATCCAAAATATTGGATATAGAACAGAATTTGCTGAAACACAGAGCAATCCAAATTTGACACAGTTAATACAAGATCTCAAAGATCACTACATCAAATAAAGCGAATGCTCATAAAATGAACAACCAAAGCAGCCCAATCTATTGTGAGCATCATCTAGTGTAGCTGATAAAGGCATAAGTAGTTGTACAAAGGGTTTTGATTTTTAGTTCCACTTCCACAAAGATTGGAGATTGGATTAGAGTTCTGGTTTTTGATGTAAGGGTAAAAGAAACCAGAAAAGCATAAAGAAAGCAACGTAGTTGATACCTACCGAGTTTCCAAATGAATGAGATGATTAACCAAATAGGCAACAATACAATCTCCATCAGGTCCCCAATTAGACTGCAAGAAGAGCCTATTAAAACCCAAAGAACCGAACAAGAACTCTCCACCACTTGAACAAGTGTATTCCACACTGGGAGAAGGAAGCTTAAAACCTCCATAAGAGGTTCCGCCATTGGTAATGTAACAACTGAAAAAAAAGACCGAATGGTACGTGTAATTGCCAAAAACCATTGAACAGCCTTCTGAAAGTTGTGCAAAAATAGCATTGTCCCTAAGTATTTAATTCTTGATACCATCTCCCAAGTTTCTATCCAATCCAAAAGAGGGCCACACAAACGCGAAGCAGTAGCTTTCAGAACAGGGACATTTTTGTATAAATCATAAAAACCTATTAGAACAGTGACAACTGAGATCAGCACATATAAAGCTCGAACAAGAGGGCACATCCAGGGGCGATAGAGATGGCAAAATCCTGGATATGATTGGAGGAATATTACCCAAGATGGAAGTCCAGCCTCTAGTAGAGTAAGTAAACGGAGATCAGACATTATGATTTTCCTTAATTTAAATGGGAGGTCACAGTCATTGAACCTAAATAAAATCAGAACATCACGGTACTCGGTAGCTTTGGCTGCAATATCAGAATCAATACAAGTCCCAGAGTTGCATAACAAGTCTTCAATTTCAAATCCATCACCATTGCACTTCATTACTTTTCTTCTCTTAAAAGGTCCAGTTTGGGGAGGAGTGTGTGGCGCATTTGTTCTACTTTCTGTAGTCCCAGCGTATGCACTAAACCTGCTAGCAATGCACTGGAGAGAAGTATTTTCACCACACTGGTTATTACGGCAAATGTTTTCATCATCACCTTTTGGGGTAGCCCTCGAGAATTCTTCTTCAGCATCATAGAAGATCTCTCCTAACAAAGTTAAAAAAAAAAAATGAGATATTGTTAGTAAAGCTCCTTTATATGTAAGCTAATGTTTTCATGACAACATCAAATGTTCACACCATATTTACTTCTTTAGTGTGGAAGAAAATGTACAACAATGATTTTTAAGGCAAAAATGCACAAACTTTGATGAAGGAAAAATCTTGCTCTATGGTTGGTAAAATTTATAATGCAATATAAATATCATAGAGAATGCAAGACCAGCTGTAAGAATACACCTATAATAAGATAATCATTATACTATCAGAGGAACAGGCAGGTATTGCCGGACAGACCATGAGTGGCAGTAAGCAGAGGAATTTTTATGAGAAATACAGATGCAAGACAGACTTCTATTCAACATAGATGCTGCAACTGACCTAGTTTTGACCATCCTAGAGGTTTGAGTAACACAGCTTACAAAACATGGAAGTTTCAGCAACACAACTATGGTACTTAAAAAAGCAAACTTATGGCGGTAAACCTAAGTCTAGAAAATATCCACATCCATACTAATAATATATCAACATTGAAGCACAAACTCTTTTATGGATGCTAAATCCTCAACACAATTTTTCATTCTGTTCAGATAAGGAAAGGGCAAAAGAATACCTATGGTGGATTCTAGATAGTCTCTCAATTGCAGCAGTTCATGGTGTTTTCCTGAGAACCACGAAGATATACAGCTTACAGCTTGGGCTATGCTATCAAATTCCCATCTTCGCATAAATTTAGCTTCTATGGCCAAAGAGGTATCAGTCTGCACATGACACAAAAACCATTAAACAGAGATACTTATTTCACTTCAACCAATATATGGAGAACAAAGCAGCGATGGTACCTGAAGTTCATTTAAATAGTTAATTCCTCTAACATCAGTCCATGAAACTTCAAATACAATAAAACCATACAAGGTCCTATGTAACTCACTGCTTAAAAGCAAATGGCTTCTAAGCGTCTTAACAGGTAGCAAAGCCCGCTTTCGAGACAAAGTTGCAGCATCAATTAAAGAAAACCACCTCTTAAACTTTTCTGATTTACTAACACCAGGTGTGGAACAACTGTCCTTTCCCTCCTCCCTCTGCCTCCGTGATTTAGTGTTTGCAAAAGGAGATAGCCTGGACTGTACACAAAAGCAACCTCATTATTCAATCATAAAAAAATAAAGAAAATATCTTGCCATGAAGAGCCACTTTTACCAACCTTGGTAACCATCAGTTGCCACAGGTGTGTTGGCCGTGAATCTAGATCCACCAGCCATGGTCGGTTGTCCACCAAAATGTAGATTTTATTACTTTCAAATGCCAGAAAGAGGCTAAGATCTGAAAGATAAGACTGCAAATCTCTGCAAACAAGTAGCAAAGAACACATGATTTTTCAGACATGTCAACAATACAATATCATAGATAAGACTAGCCACACCTAAGCTTCACTAATACAAGACAATCACAAGTTTCACATATCTCAAAAACATCTTCAGAGTGGCTTATAAGGGTGTAAGATAAATGCTTGTGCATAAATAAACTAGCCNAGAAAATGTTGAAATACGTGTGGCACACTCGCCATAGATAATTAGGTCGCTTATATTGCATTCAAAGCAAAGTTTTTATTACCTAACTTCCACTTATAGTTCAGGAATCAAGGTTCGTTTTCAAGAAGGTGGTGAGAACAGGAGATTTGTATAAAGGGATCTGGATCAGGTGGTGAAAATTACGGGTGGGCCGGGTAATACCTGCGGGTGCCCGCAGGTACCCGTACTTTAACTTAAACCCAAAACCATTTATCACTCCCGCAACCAGCAGCTCTCAATCTCTCTCTCACGCTCAGCTCTCAATCTCTCTCCCGCAGCTCTCCATCTCCCTCACGCTCAGCTCTCAATCTCTCTCACGCAGCTGTTCATCTCTCTCACGCTCAACTCGTCTTCTCTCTCATGGTCACGGCGCAGCTTTCAATCTCCTTGTCTTTCTTCAACTCTCAGTTTAACTTGAATGTTTATGGACTCTAGACTCTTGGCACGAGGTCATAAATTTTAGTAATAATTATTTCTTGGAGTAGGGTTAATAATATATTACTATTTTAATACAAGGCTGTCGTGGTCATAAATGAGTTTTCCTCCTACTTCATCCCTCTCACAGCGGCAACTTTAGCAGTTGCACTAATCTCTGCCATCTTCTTCCTCAGATTCCATGCCAAAAAATCGCCTTAAAGACTAAAAAATATCACGCCACCTCTCCCCTGAACAAGTACTTAATTATTACAGGCTCTTTGACTTAACGATGGACCTTTCAGGCAAATATAAAACCTATATATTGTCCTCGTTTCATATAATTTTTTTGCCGCTCATTTTCAAACCCGTGAAATTTTTTTTTATTCGTAAACCCGTACCTGTTTTATCAGTTACCCGTAATTGCCCTGTCTGTACCCACCTGACCCGCCCGTTTGCCACGTCTACCTAACTTCCACTTATCGTTCAGGGATCAAGGTTCGTTTTCAAGAAGGTGGTGAGAACAGGAGATGTATAAAGGAGTCTGGATCAAGTAGCCATAGTCATAACCCATTACAAGGCCCATACACAACTAATTAATAAACATAACTCAACAGACATACTAATCGTCCTGGTCGCTCTTTTTGGGCTTGCGATACGTTTCTTCGTAATGTTTGAACATCAAAGCGCCGGTGCCGGCTAGCTTATTGATATTAGGTACGTTGTAGTTCTGAGCAACGTAGATGCCGAAGACTGTGCCCACCATGAAGTTGAAGCAGCTCCTGACTATACCCATAGTTAGCAAGTTAATCGCTGAGTGAATTTCAGCTCGTAAGGAGGTTTTGGGTCAGATTTAAGTTTTCTGTTCGTGTTGCCCACGCTTTCTTTGTTTTTATTTTACTGCAACTTCACTGACGACACGGCCTTGGGCTATAAGGAAGCGATTCACCATTCGTCAATAAACTTTGTGGGTCCCGATTTAAGTTTTAAGTTCTTACTTTACAATAATACTTTAGAAACTAACAAATTTTGCTAACAAGTGTACTAACCTAAAATATAGTACGGATATCATACGTATAATATGGATACCATATATAATTTTAACAAAGGTTAGTAAGATGGTTAGTATAATCCGTGAGTACACATAGCATTACCCCTTACTAGAATTTATCACAAATTTATTTTTAAATTGTAAATTATGATTTCCATAGGTTTCACAAAAGAGTAAACGACATTATCCCACCCAAGGTTTGGCAAATCTGTAGGTTCCCACCCCTGGTTTCATAAATTGTAGATTCTCACTCATAAATTAACACCATTACTTTTCTCTCAAAATAACTCCCACATCTCAAATTTCTCTGAAACAAAACCCAGAGGAGATCCTAGCCAAGCCAAAAATTCGGTCTGATTCTGGCACCATTGGACCTCCCCGACACCACCATCAACATCTCTTTATCCTCCTCACCAAAACCCCTAACTTTTTCATCCGATTACAACTCAGCGAGGTATCGAAATTTGGCTGGAAAGGCGCGACAAAATGCGAAAACCTAAGGGAGAGGCGGCAGCAATCAGCGATGTTGGAGATTTTGGTGGGGGGAAGTTGGTGATGCTATTGATGGTGTTGGGGGTGGTTTTAGGTGCCGGGACCTACTGGAATTTGGATGAAATGTCGACTGAAACTAAGAGCAACGACCGACGATTGGGGGGTTCAATCAGGCGGGGAGGTTAGAGGTTTTGATGTGGGGGTTGAGGGGATTGTAATGGTGGTGTCGGGAGGGGTCGACTACGTTGGAAACAGGCCGAAATAGCCTGAATCACCGATGTGGTGAATTTGAGAAGTGAAGGGTTATTTTGAAATGACCATTTTACCATTTTAACTATTAGATTAAACAATTTTCTGTTAATTTAAGAGTGAGAATCTACAATTTATGAAACCAAGGGTGGGAACTTGCAGATTCGCCAAACCTTGGGTGGGAAAATGTCATTTACTCTTCACAAAATTATAATAAACACCTGCTAGTTTCATTAATACATATCTAGTGCCTATTTTTAACGGGATGTTAGATGAATCTGTTAGTAAATGTCTCAGATGGTTTAAATGTCCATTCTACCCCTAAAGAATCTATAGTTAAATTGAATTGACTTTTGTATCCTTCTTATAAAGTTAATTACCATAAAACCCTTTATCAACAAAATTTCAATCACCTAAAAAAGAGTATCCCTCTTATTAGGCAAAATATCAATATCACTCAGGTAAAGTATTAAAAAGACCCAATCAAGCGAGATTAATATCATTATACCCTATTTGAGTGATTGGACTTGAGCAACTTGAGTTTCTACAATTTTTCTTGAAATTAGTTTTTTTGATTCAAGTGTTAGAAAGTGATTTTTTTTTTTTTTCTGTTTTCCCCTAAATATGCAATATTTCACTTATATTAAACACATATGAGCTAATATCACCCTAAATATATACAAAAGTTGCAAAAAATAAAATAAAATGCATAAATCTAAAAACATTAAGGAGAAGAAATAAAAGAAAATAGGAGAAAGAAAGAAGTGAAATGAATTGAAGAAGCGCAAAATCGTCCCGAATTTGCATCAAATGTCTTACTTAAAAGACAATTAGAGATGGGTGCCTCTTAGTTTGTTTCTTAAAATAAAGTCAATAAGTAATTATTTCTATAGATTATATGAAAAATATTAATACAACCCTATTCAAAAGGTCCACTCAAGTGAGGTTAATATCATTATACTCCACCCGGGTGATTGGACTCAAGCTACTGTACTCAAACGGCTCAAGTGACCTGACTCGATCAACTTGACTTTATTCATATTTTTCGAGTTTGTTCATTATTTTTCCAAAAAAGTGAATTTTTAAACCAATTTGAATTAACACATTTTTTTTTTTTTATATACTAAACATATTTTTGACATTTTGTATATCTTTTTAACACTAAATTCTTGCAAAAATTCAACCCAAAAGCCCTAATATTCTACATTTCAATATTAAATCAACAACTATTTTCATTTTCATGGAAGTAATGGTGTTTATGTAATTAAGTGTAACGGACAGAGGTAGGAGTGTCTATAAATCTAATGAGAGGTCTCGTATACAAAGCCATTTTGAAGTTGGTTATTTTTTAATTTGACATTTTAAAAGGGCCAATTAAGTAAATTTCCCTATTAATAAGTTGAACAAGAATTGACTGCTTTACATACTCAGCAAATTCCCCAAACCCTATGCCTTTCTATCAATATTTTAGTTAAATACCAAAATGCACTTAAAATCCTAGTTAGTAAATACGGGTATGGCAAAAAAAAGGTACGGAAATTTTACGGGTATAATACGGCAAATGGTGAAAAATACGTTTATAAAAATTCGGCCATAAAATTTGGGTACGGAAAAAATACGATACGGGTATATACGAGTTTAATACGGTGCATTGTCAATAATACGTTTTGAAAAATACGGCAATATCAATCTTAGTTTTAATACTTTTATGGATTACCTGGTTAAATAAGCTTATTCTTTATGTTAAATAACCTTAAATAAGGTTAAATAATAATTATTATAAAAAATAACTGATATTCAAATTGTAGGTTTTAGACTCAAACACAATATTTAGCCAATGATTCTTTACTAATTTAAAACTTGATAAGTTTGATATTAAATGCAATCAATTTTAACTTCCCATTAATCCATTAAATTATATTAAATCAATAACTAAAATTTTGTATCACAAATCTATATAAAATATTAGTGTTACAATACCCATAATATATGACTTTAATTGTTTGTCATTTATTTATTTATTTTGATTCAATAAAAGTTAAGACTACTGGATTACTAGGTTGAATATCAGTTATTCTTTATAATAATGATTATTTAACCTTGTTTAAGGTTATTTAACATAAAGAATAAGATTATTTTAATATCATTAATTCAATCTAAATCCCCTTTTCCAATCTCTTCCCTTCTAAAAGAAGACAATATAATAATATTTTTATAATAATTATTATTAGGAAACCCATATAATTTTTGTTGGGTTAATTAGTATTTTATTTCGATTTTATAATCCCATGTTACTATACTCACATATTACTTTGCGATTCTGAATTTGGACAAAATAATTATATCTTGTCCCATTCCATTCTTCTTCTAACGGCTATTTAATTTCCACTGGTTTTTATTTCTTCTTCCCCATCAAAACGACGTCGTTTCAATCAGCTCCATTTTTTTTCAATCATTCGCGAATAATTCACGTATAATTTGCGAATAATTCGGAATTATACGGATATCCAAAAAATTCGCGAATAATTCGGCACCCATTTAAAAAGTACGTAAATACGTGTTTTATACGCGAATTATACGACTGGCCGTATAATTCGCGTATAAAACGTGTATTTACTAACTAGGCTTAAAACTAACCTTCCAATACTCAAACAAGAATAATATTATACTTACAAACTTTTAATACAATCTCTCTCATACAAACTGATGTGGCAACTTTGCATGTTTGCCATGTAATTTCTTTTAATTATTTAATTTAAAATCATTCAATCATCTTTTGCAACATCAATTGTACGAAAAAGTTTGTATAAAAAGTTTATAAGTTTAGTATTACTCCTCAAACAAATACAAACCATTTTATTCCTTTCATTCTTTTTCACAGATAACACCATAACCACCATATTCCTTCACAAAAACTAAAGAGTATTACACACTTAATCGAGTTAAGATCATCGATTTGTCATAAGGATACTTTTTAGTGTTTTTTTTTTTTTTTTATATCATTATTTGTGCTTGTAAAATGAATTTAAATTATGTGGTCATATTTGAAACGTGTCTATTAGTGGAATGATGCTTGTAATTTTATATCATAGAGTCAATTATGATGGTAACAAATGAGAGTAAATGGGATGAACACTAAACGCCCATAGAATTTCTTATCACGATCCCTTCACGAGAAAATACCCAGTTCGTGTGGTGGATCACATGAAGTGGATCATACAATTCTGAAGATCCACTTTGTGTGATCCGCCATGCAAATTGGGTAATTTCATGTGAAAGTGGCAATTTTAATCATGTTTGAACTTTAATTTTGCATTCTATCATTCATAGGGCTTTTAATGTGTTTTCTATTAATCATAGGATTACTTAAAATGGATAATTTGGTTGAATTGGTTCCTGTAAATGATTTATCACTTTTGATGTAATTTAATAAAAGCACAAACAAGACTATAATTATAATATGTCAATGCCGAATAAATTGGACAAAATAAGTAGAAGATTCAAACACAAGATTTATAATGGTTCGACGCTCCAAGGCCTACGTCCACTCCTTCGAGAATCCACCTTGAAAAATTTTCCAATATCACACTTAATCTTCAACCAAGACTAAGATTTTTCTTCACACAAGTTGGCTTCCAAGGTGCAACCAAACCATTACACAAGTGTTACCTCAAACACGTCAACCCAATTGACTTTAAGGTGTCAATTAAACCTCTCTCTCAAATCAACAACACAAGAGTGTACATGATAGGATAGTGTTTCTGTTTTATATGAGGAAACAAAACCTCCAAGAAAAATGAGAATTCAGAGTTTAGAGAGAAGAAAACTTTTATCGATTATATTGCCCGTCAAACCCTAATTGTTTTAGGCTTTATATAGCCTTACACATTATTCTAATCCTAGAAGGACTCTAATTGCCTAATTCAAAAGGTATTCTAATTATTCTCATTAGATAATAGCATAATTATAAAAGGACTTAGCCCAATTATCCTAATTCTATCCTA